AAATGTCTAAATATGGTTTTGGTTCGCAATGACATTCAATACAATACCGTTCAGTCTATTAGTTTACTTAACAACGATTGCGGCGATTGGCAAATGTGTTCACTCTCTTCCCAATAATCACCACAAATATCACAGTAATTGATAAATCAATCACCACTTTATCATTTCACATAATAGTCAAAGTTTTCTCATAAACTATCATTATTTAGATGTTTCGCAGACCTCTTCGACCACAGAAGGCGAAGAGATATACACCACAGAGAGTGAGACCACGACTTCGGATAACGATTCCGATACCATTGCCACACAAAGTAGTGAATTGCAAACAACGACCACAGATTCGGACTCCGGTAGTAATAATAGCGAGACATCCAGTGATAGGCAAACAACCGCTGTTTCGATCAATACTGAGATATTAAGTGAATCAAAAAGCAATGCAAACTCTAATAATGATCTGTGGATTGAGTCACAAACAATATCTACTGAATCGGATATTGAGAGCACAGACAATAGTGAGACAACGGAAGACACGAGTGAATGGCTAATTGATACGCTCATCAATAAAGTGGTGACCACTGAAGTGCCCGCCGATGACGACCAAGATCTCGAACTGAAGGCGTCGCTCGACGTCATAACACACGACTACGATATGAACGGAGAGCAGGCAAACGCCACGGAAGCGCCCGATATGGACCCTAATTCAGAGCTGGTCGACGAAAACGGCCGCAAAGATAAGGGCGAGTCGGCCGAAGAGCAGCACCACGAGCCGACCACCACTACCACCAGCAGCACTATTACCGGCTCTCCCGGCGATTCTAAAAGTGATTTATTCACCACTCGTAAAATGAAATACGGAGGTAAACCTTACGACCAGATCTGTCGCCTAATATCAATGCATTCATACAATAAATATTTAAATATAATTGTAATTCAGAGCTAAGAGTGGGAACCATAAAACCGGAACCCAAAGAGAACCTAAAAAGCAAAGTGAAGACAATTGTGGTGAAAAGAGTGGACCAAATCCGGGAACGATTCAATTTGACAGAAGTTACCGCCAAACAGATGTGTTTGGACTCAGCGCAAGACTCGGGCTACTGGTGCGAGGGAAGTGTCGGCAAACTGTCTGTGCGTTACTTCTATAGAGCAGATAAGAAGACGTGCGACTGTTTCCTATACTACGGCTGTTTAGGGAATCGAAACAATTTCCAAACACTGAAGGAATGTAAGGATAAGTGCGAAAAATTCGGTTATAATAAACCCGTTAAGGGAGA